CCCTCCTGCAGTCCAGGCGTCCATTCAAAGCAGCTGGTTTCAAAAAGCCTGCTACCCATGGCCCAGCCCCCTGGCTAGATGTGTTTAGGACACACTGGTGGGTCAGTGTCTCCATGAGCCGCTTTCTTCATAAAAATATTTAAAATTATATTTCATCCTCCGGTGGCATAAAGACAAACATATTAATACACACAACAGTAAAGTATTTATCTAAAAGTTCATTTGTTTCTTCAGATTTCTTTTTTTTAAGTTTATTTATTTATTTTAAGAGAGAGACACACACACAGTGTGAGTGGGGGAGGGGCAGAGAGAGGGGGAGACAGAGAGAGTCCCAAGCAGGTTCCCCACTGTCAGAGCAGAGCCAGATACTGGGCTTGACCTCCAGAACTGATACTGAACTCGAACTAAGGAACCATGAGACCATGACCTGAGCTGAAATCAAGGGTCCGACACTTAACCGATCGAGCCACCCAGGCACCCCTTTTTCTCCAGGTTTCTAAAGAAATGAAAACACTTTTTTTTGTGGACCTCTCCACATTTTTTCAGTGGGCCCAGGCACTGTGCCTCTTGCTGAAGTGAAGCTCTTGTGACCACGACAGAGTGAGGTTTCTGTTGTGGCCCAGACCAGAGGTGGGAGAGGAACTCAGGCTGGGGAACCTTCTGCGACCCAAGCTGCCTGCTCCCAGGGAAAGGGCAGGCAGAAAGACCTGCCTGACAAATGCCTCTAGCGAGCTGATGCCTGTTGGCAATTTGCATTTAGACTTCCAGAGGTTATAGTTCATTTTGCAGGAAAGACACTGATTCCTTCCTGCTTAACCACACAGCCCCTGGCCCTGGGCAAGAGGAACCAACATATTTTTAAAATGCAGACTTTCTACACTTGTTAATAAGGGGGTGGCAGGATGATCTACTTCTACTCTATGATCTTGCCCAGCCCTTTCCTTTCTGACCTAGGAAAGAGTCCCAACTCTTTTGACTGTAAGTTTTCCCATCTTCAACATTAAAAATGTCACCCAGTAGCACCCATTTTCAGTATACTATGAATAGAGTCCCATTTTATAGTCAGTCCACAGACAGGGTGTGGGGTGTGCCTGGATCTTGGGCCTCTTGCAACAACTTTGCAGTCTCAGCCACAGGCTGTGAACTGCTGACCAACCCCAAATCCAGAGTTCCTCACACTTTTCAAGTTGCCCTTTTAAGTGACAGCTAATTATATTAATTGATGACTCTGTCACAACAGTTATAAACTTTCATCCCAGTGGTAGAGTGCCTTTAACAGTTGTCATCCTCCAGTGCCTTTGAGGGCCAGGCATCCAGAGTCAGCCAGTGCGGGTACCCAGGCAGCAGTTACACACACCTCTGCACTGGGCCCTGTGCAGAGGGCTTGGGGCAGGACATGTGGCCCCTTTCCTTACAGGGCGTGGGGATGGGGATGCTTACCCTCTGGACCAGTAGGTCTCAAACTTTAGGATACATCAGAGTCATGTGGGGAACTTTTAAATTTGCAGAATCCCAAGTCCGCCCTAGGAGGTAACAATCTAAGGGGTCCAGAAATGACTTTCAGAAAACCAGCAGCCAGAGGGATATGCAATGAATATAGACAGATGAGAGAGGTGCTAAAGCAATTTACAAAAAGATACAAAAGGGAATAAGGATGAATAGAAAATACAAGTGAAACCAGCATTTTAGCATCTGTGGGATACAAGCATGGGATGCTTCTTAGAGAGTTTTGCATTGGATAGTATCACAGTACATTTTATAGTGCGAAAAATAGAGTCCCAGGGAAGTTAAAGAATTTGCTTCTGCAAAGAGAATCAAAGACTGAGCAGCTGCCCCCTGCCATAGTGCAAGGGTACTAAGTAGGTAGCAGGAGGCCTTGACATGAGTGTGTGCTGGCACACCTGTGTGCCTGTGCATGCATGTGTGTGTGTGTGTGTGTGTGTGTGTGTGTGCCCGTGCATACAGATGTGTGCATGCACTGTGTGTGTGTGTGCATACAGGGGGGTGCATGTGCCTGTGCATGCATGTATATGTGCATGTTGCAGGTAGATGCTAACATTCTGGCCATGGTCTTTATATGGCAGAGTCATAACTGACCTTCAGATATGAGGGATAATGGTCTGTTACCCTAAGTGGGATCCTGTAATTTACTTACATATGTGAAACGATTGACTGAGCCTGAGTTCCTTCACAAGAAGACATGTGAAATTTATGCCATAAATAAATATAGCATTATTTCCTGAGAGGCAGCAATAATCAGCAAAGGCAGAGAGTTTTCATTAAAATGCACAAATGATTTGTGGACTTGGTCCACGAAGGGTAAAAAAGAGCCCAAATCAATGTAGTCATTATATATTTTTATCCTGTGTCTGACCCCGGGGTCTGGTGGGTCCTTCACTGTGAATCCCACATCGTGCACATTTATAGGAGAGATGATGTGTTGGCCGCTGTTGACTTGAGTGGTTTTGTAGGATGCAAGCGGGAGAGATTGGCTTGGCCTCACAGT